TGAAGTCTGGGCGTTAATAAATGAAGGTGCTACTGAAGAAAAGAAAATATATATGTGCTCAAGAGAGCAAGAATAATAGCAAACCAAACTAGGTAAACGAAAAGAATTGAAAAACGTTCAATTAAGTAAAATATATTTTTAAGTGTTGCTGCCATGCATGCTGATGGATAGGAATACGATTAAAATCAGAGGAGAAATACTCTAAGATCCAAAATCGACATCATCTCTCCTCAAACCACCATTGAAATCCTCTCTCTAATATGACCTAGAATCTTTTTCGACTTTCTCTCTCCTCCACAGTCTGCTCCAACTATTTCTTCTTCCTCCTTTTAGTTTTCTCTCTACTCCAAAACAACTTACGATCTTCTTCTCTCCGACATGACCTAGAACCTTTTTCAGCTTTCTCTCTCCTCTATAGACTCCTCTGATTATTTCTTCTTCCTCCATTTCATATTTTCTCTACTCCAAATCAACTTACGATCTTCTTCTCTCCGACATGAATAAAAAAAATGTTTCACTTAAGTAAATTTTATGAGAGTAAATAACTAAATATGCTCGGGGGTTAGAGGTTTTGGCTAAAAATATCCTTAAACTATACCTCAACTTAAATTACACCCCTTAATTATTTAAATTTTCAACAACTTTCATCATTTTATTAAAATTCATCAAAAATTAACAAATTCTTTACAAAAACATGTACAGTTCACACTACTCTCAACAAAACTCCCTAAATCACTCCAATAAATCAATTCTTTTAATTAGTAATTTTATTTTCATTTATTTGATATCAAAGAATTACTAGCTAAAATGTTTTCTTCTCATTGAATCTGCAAGAAGTGGTGTCGATCGAAGACTTTTAATTATAATAATGGAGAACGAGACTCACAGTGGCGTATGCATCATATATATATATATATATATATATATATACAACTTCTTTAAAAAATAAATAAAAGAATAATACTTATAACTTATTTTGATTGAGTTTTTTTCTAAAATGTATTCAAAATATAATAAGTACTCTCTACTAAAGTGGGAAAGAAGGGAAAAAAATAAAAATAAAAAATTGTATAAAAATAAGGTTATGCAGGTTTGAGCCCGCAACTTCAATTTTAGAAATTCAAAGACTTACCAGCTAAGCTACACACAACTTTTGCTTAAGGAGTGTCACTTTGTATTATATATCTTTTTATCTGTTTTTCTCTTTTAACCATATATACATATTTAGTAAAAAAATTTGAGGAAGTAGTGTCACGTGACACCCCATAACCCTTCTTAAATCTGCACCTGGAAACTCGAGTGCTAGAGATCAAAATCAGCTGAATTTTGATCACCTCAACTATTAGTTTACCCCGATAAAATATTGATCTAATAACATTTGACTTTGCATAAGGTGAAGATGATGCGAAATTAAGTAAAGAAAAAGAGAAGATCATGTCTCCTGATCGACCCACACCGTCCTAACATTATTCTTTTAATAGCAAACAAGGATCTCAAAGAATTTTAATTTTTTCTAGGAGTATATACTTTCCAATAGATAAAAGAAATTATAGAAAAAAGTTTTTGATGAGAATAGTATGAATTGCATATGTTTTTGCATGGAATTTTTTTTATTTTTTTTGATAAATTTTAATAGAGGGATATAAGTTGGTAAGTTTTAAATACTTAGAAGATTTTTTTGTTAAGAGTGATAATTTAATAATATATTTTAAATGGGGATATAGTTTAATAATGTTTTTAACCAAAAAAAAAAAGCTCCTCGGCTTATCACACACACACATATATATATATATATATATATATAAAGAGAACCTTAGGCCTGCCTACGTGGCACCACCACAAATAAGGATTTCCTTTTAATTTATTTATTTTCAAAATTAGCATTCCCCTCCTCTCATAAACTTTCACAACCGTCACCACCACCTTACCAATTAAGCCTCCATCAGATCTTCCATATGTATAAATATCAGGCCCCCTTTGAACTTACTTAAGCAATTGATCGCCAGATTGGAATACTAGGCCAAACTTAAGTTTAACCAATTAGTACCAAAATGAAATATTGGGCCAAACCATGTGAGTTAGCTTGCTCAAATGTACATGTAACAATTATACCTTGAGAATTTTCTTTTTAATTTGGGAGTTGTGAATGCTTATCCGTTAATCCTATATATACTTGCATTGTTGCATGCATTAGTCTACCGTTTCTCGATAGTTTTACTTTATCCTTGCTGATTTGAGTTAATCATTTTTTTGTTTAGGAGTAGTACAATATAGATTGAAGGTCAATGTCATTTATTAGAGCTTTCAATTGATATCTGAAGTACACGTTGTTGGATTTTAAGAGGTGTGAATAAAATATGAAGACTTGTGACTTTCATGAAAAATTGTGATTTTTATGAAAAAATTGTGACTTTTATGAAGAGTTGCGACTTTTATGAAATGTTGTGACATTTCTGAAGGGTTGTAACTTTTCCAAAGAGTTGTGACCTTTCTGATAAGGCATAATAAACATTTGTTCACACTACCATTTGTTGTCTATAAATAGAGGGATTTCCTCTCATTTTAAAACAACGAAAATTTTGAACTTCTTCTTCTTATGTACAATTAAATATTCGTGTACTTTGCTCCTGTTGAGTGGCTCACTGACACCATTGTTTTTGTATCAATAAATATTGAATAGAATCGTTCTATCCTGAGAGATGATCTATTTCTTTAAACCTCGGGTACTATAGGAGAATAATTTCTTTAAGGGGACACTGTGCATTTAGTGGACTCGATTTTTTCCTTTCTATTTTTATCTATTGTTACAGATCCTGGTATGTTTTTTATAGTCATTAATTTATGCTTATGTTATTAATTGTTGATTTTGAGTACATGCTTTAAACTTTGTTGTTTATGTTTTTGCAAAGTTATTGTTATAAGTTTTTATTTGTGCATATTAAATAACACACGTTAATTGAGTATTCATACAAGTTTTATCTATTGGAATTGTTGAAGGTACACAATAAAAGAATCTCTTGAAGATCTATTATATCATCTCTCGAAGACAAAACTCAAATTTTGCCATTGTAAGGACATAAAGACCTTAAAAATCTTACCGTACCTTGGTGTGCGAAGTGAACCAGGAAAAGAAGTCAAGAATTAATAAACTTTTGATATGGCTTCAAGGATATTGTGCCAAATGATCTATAGAGGAATATGACTAGATTGAAATCTCTTTTAATTCCAAAGACATAGATAGTTACACAATAAATTAATTGCTTATATTCAATATGAACTATGTATAGATTATCAAGTTTATTGCAAGTTGTAAATACTTTTCTTGAAGTAATAGATGTGTTTCTTGACACTGTGATTGGAATAGAAGTGTAGTTTCAAATTGAACTCCATTACTCTGGTATGCTAATTTTGAAATAACACTCAAACAAACTGAATAATTTTGTGTAATATTTTTCCCTTTCAAGTATATATAATAAGTTGAATTGTTGTCCAATATGATACATTCTCCCCTTGTATTTTCCATTTGAATATTTTCTTATGATACATTTAAATGTGAAACTTTAAAATGATATATGTAAAGCAAAAGATAGGGCTGAACTTTCTACTTCACTTTTTTCGGCATTTTAAAATTTATTTATCCCATCACCATCTATTATTTATTTATTAAAAAAATTAATATCTCAAGTTGATGTTCATTTGATTTCCCAAAAATATCAAATAGTAAACAAAAGGATAAACTATAAAATCAAATTAAAGATGATTGATTGAAGGATAAATGAGAACAATTATCATTTTTCTTTACAATATTAATGTTGTTATTATGTAATCTTGTATGTGAGATAATATAGTGCTTTAGTTTTAATGATTGATAGATTTTAAGTAGAGTTGTCAATATGGGCTAGCCCACCCTATCCGGGCTAACCCATACAGACTTTGACATTTTACGGGCCAGGCCAGGGTAACCCATTTTTGGTGTGGGCCAGAAAACGGTCGGCCCAACCCACAAGTACGTGGGCTACAGGCTTGCCGGGCTTGCCCACTTTTTTAAAAGTTATATATATTTTTATAATTATTAAATTAAATTATAAATTATAATTTAAAAATATTATATAAATATCGATAAAACAATATTACATGGTATTAATGTTACTACTTGTTAATCAAATCCACAAATAAAATTATCTTTATAATATTTATTAAGTTTTTTTCAAGTGAAAGTATAAATATCTAAATAGAAATATTAACCTAACTGTTTTGCAATGATCACAATAAAATACAAAAAATATGACAATATTCCAACCATAAAAATATAAAAAATAAACTCCTTAAAAAATCATGAAACTTATGGCGTATCTAACACTTCATGAAACCTATGGCGTATCTAACACTTCATGATCATCTTCATCAAGCATATCTGAATCAACTTGTGGGAAGGTTGTCTTAACATCTTCATTTTCATATGCAATTTATATGCGGTTTCAATTAGTTAAATATTAAAAAATAACTAAATTGAGAATTATAATATTTAAATGTACACAAAAATATATTACCAGTTTGAGAAAAACCATGTAACCAGTTTCGAGTAGCAACAAGTGTTTGGATATTTTCATGGTGGATGCAACTTCTATACTTAGTGATTTCCTAAAAAACTTTAAATAGATTTTGAGTTTGGATCTCTTTAATTTTAAATTTTAATATTATATTATATTTTTAAATTAATTTGTATTAGCCCATGGGCCGGCCCTACCTATATTTCTCAATCTCACAAATCAGCAGGCTTATTCAGGCCGAGCTAAAATGTCCTTTTTTTAAATGGGCTCCAAAATTTTTAGCCCAGTCCTATTAAATCCCGGGTTAGGCCAGGCCGGCCCAACAGGCCTAGCCCATATTGACGGCTCTAATTTTAAGTATTGTTTTATAAATTTCGTGATATTAAATTCTCGGAAATTTTATTACTACTAGTATAGAAAATAAAATAAAAACTCTTTTTTTTAAGGGGTGATTTTGTCACCTTTGTGTTTACCCATTACTGGAATTGTTGGGCCAAAACCCGCACATTGTGGGGGGAAAATCCCTGAAACCCTTCCGAATTCGAGTAATAGATCTCCGTGATCGAAAATGCGAACCATTAGCAGAGTATTTATAATAGGAAATGGCGTCCCCGGTGCAGAAAATCAATGCTTCGGTTTGGTTCGAGCTTTGGGCTTATCGCATCGACAAACACTATTTGTAATCTATTTCTCTTTTTTTTTCATTTTTCAGTATTTTGCTATATAATTGTTCGCCTGCTTTGCAATTCAGCTGGGTTTTGTGTGCTAGAATGTGTATTTTGTTGTTCATTATGGTTTATGTGAGGCTCTATAGATTACATTAATATATATTAGCTACCATGTTAGATAAAGTAATATTTATGTTAGATACACTTTGTTAGCAATGGGTTTAAGTTGTGGTACTCAGAAAGCTCGAGGAACTGGAGTTAAGTAGGCTTTTTAGTAGATAGGGAACTCAGAGAGCAAGTGGTAGAGGTTAGGAGGGTGAATGATAGTATGACGGTCATTAAGCTAGTTGGGGAGGGTTTACTTTTAACATAATTAGTTAATATGCCCCCACACCATGCAAAGTGAAGCCCGGTATTTAAGTGGAGAAGGGTAGAGGGGCGGGCCCATTATCCACCGAGTTTAGAAGGCTGTGATTGGTCCAAAGGGGGGGTCACAGACGGATTTCTCGGTTATAAAAAAAATAAAAAATAAAAATTAGTTAATATGCACCGCAAGCAAGTTTAGACGAATAGGTCAGAAAACTTGTTTAGGAGGAGTTGGATGGGGTTGTGAGAAGTATATCGCACACCGAGAAGCTATTTCTCAGAGGAGATTTTAATGGTCACATAGGAACCACTTCAAGGGACTATGATGATGTTTATGTAGGAGATTTTTGGTGTAGTGACAATCGCCCAATTTACCAAGTGAAACTTCTTTCCCAGCTTGAGCTATCCCTCAAAAAATTCTCTCTCAAGTTTTTCCAATTTCCCGTAACACTTACTGGGGTTTGTAACAAAGACATGAAATATGTGGGGATGTTCGACAACGTTAACTTAATTAACACTTCCTTCCCTCTCCATAGATAAATAACTCTTTTGCCAACCTGCAAATCTCTTTTCTACCCTTTCTACCACTGGGTTCCAAGCTGCCAGGTCCTTATTAGCGGCGCCTACAGGTAAACAAAGATAATTAGTACGAAGAACCCCAATGTTTTCTACCCTTGTCTTCTGTAATTTCATTGTGGTGATTGAAAGGAACACCTCAAATTATTCATTGACGGACCGCTGATTTTTTTTTTCTTGACAACTTTTATGGAGTTGGTGATTGCAAGTTGCCGGAGTACATTTCTAGTCTAGTCTACCTTGTATGGGATTTGAAGACAACATGATATAAGGGTTCTATTTCTGCGGTATGTCTGCAAGTGGACCATACAACAACAACAACATACCCAGTGTAGTCCCACAAGTGGGGTCTGAGGAGGGTTGTGTGTTAACCTTACCCCTACCTTCAGAGATAGAGACACTATTTTCGATGGACCCTTGGCTCAAGAAAATAACAAAAGTGAAGAAACCAAGGCAAAATACTCAACCAGGCATGACACAACATCTAAAAAAGGAACAATAACTAAAAAAATAATACAATAATCAAAGTAGAAGGAACAAAAAATAGTAATAGAAATCGAAGAAACAAGAAACTACAAGTGTAATACTACGACTACTAGTATGATAAGTGAGACAACACTCAACAACCAACTAACCTTCCACCCTAAACCGTGTCCTCCATAATCTCCTATCTAATGTCATGTTTTCGGTAAGATGAGGTTGCGCCATGTTCTGTCTAATCACCTCTTCCAATACATCTCCAGCCTACCTCTACCACTCTTGAAACCATTCATAGCTAACCTCTCACATCTTTGCACTGAGCATCTGTGCATCTCCTCTTCAAATGGACCATGTAATGTGGAAAAAAAGAAAAGACAATTTTGTTTGTTGGATGAGATTTTAAAGGAAAATTAACTGTACTATTAGTTCTCTGCATCATGTAAGGTCATGTTTGGCATAGTTGTTTAATGTGTCATCGTTTCTCATCTGGTGTTTGTTCACTTGTTTTGCTCATTCTTGTGCAGCGAGTTATTAGGCCAAAAGGAGGTTTTAATAAGCGACTTCAGTTTTTGCCTGTTTCTCTCCATAAAAGGTTAGAAAATGTCAGAAAGTTGATTTATGGAGATTCACTTCCAACACAAATAGCAGTCAGAGGACATAAATTGATGTCTCTTGCTGCCGAAAGACAGGGTACTATGGATTTCTGCAAGTTCACTCATACTGAAAAGCTATCTTAATATTATATGTCAAATGATTGTGTTTTGTTGGTGGTGATGCAGTTTCTTCAGATATCCTAGAAGCTAATGCAAAACATATTGCAGCACTATCCTGTGAAGCATTTGCCAAGTATGTTCTGTTTAGTATATTTATGTTTCTCTATTTTGTGCATTCCAGTCCGTTCTATGGTCCAAATGGTGAGCTATTAGTTGGGCGGTATTAAAGCAATGAAATGATCAGAAAATGTTGGATTTAATTTTATTTATTTATTTCTGTAGTGACCACATTAGTAATTCCTTTGCTCATTGTTTTTAGAAGTGAAAAGTGCCAAAAAGTGACAAAGTCAATGTGACATGAAGTGGAAAACGAGAAGTGAAGCGAACATTTACTGAAAATAATAAAGTACCAAAATATATGAAGTTTAGTATTTTAATAATCAACTTATAATTAAAATAAATAATATCAGCATCCAATAGACTATAATGCTGATAATTTAACTCCTCAAAGTTGAAATTTAAAGAACCGATTGCTTATCATTGGCATCACTCTGCACCTCATTGTTTGAAGCGCACACTTTGCTGAAGCTCATGGCTTCACCTATGAAGTGATAATCCCTCGCTTCACATCGCTTCATCACTTTAAATGATGTCTTTTTAATTACACTGCATACTTTGTTAGCAGCTAGGCTCAGGCTTCTGTTTGTGAAACACATTGATATGTATATATGCATCTGGTTTAAGCACTTCTCATATTGTTTGATCATTTTTATTTTGCTGTTGAACTTTACCTTTTTTTTTTTGAATGTACAACGAAAATTTTATTAGACAATAGCACCTACAAAGTGCAATGAAGTTGTTGAACTTCATTGCTGACTATAGGTTTGTAGATATTTGTCATCTTAAATCTTACTGAAGCAGAAGCTGCACATAGATTGGGGCTTTTAGGTCCTTACATGTTTCTCACTCTAAAGTACATAGTGCAAATTAAATTCTTTAAGGACAGCGGTTTGGAGGAAAAAGTTGTGGAGTGGAGCAGATTTACTAATGATGAACAATGATGCAAACAGGTTTTTCGGAATTCCTGGAAATTCTTCTGACCTGTTTCTATAATTGAGAAATCTCCGAGACTAGTGGTGCACGGTTTGAATCTCGGTGGATGCTCCTTGATCTACCCTTCTCCACTTAAACAACATGCTTCTTTTGTCTGTGGTAGTGTTCAAACCTGTAACATGCGCCTAATCCAACACACATCACGTGTTACACTCTTACCACTAGACTAAAGTCTTGGAGGTAGGAAATTCCTTTCATCTCAAGCTTGAACATAATGAATATCGTTGTTGGGCTTGAACACTTGAATTTTCTAAACAATCGAAGTAATAAGGATATGCTCAATAATGGAGATCTTTCTCTTTTCGGGATAAGTCTGACTCGATAATAGAGTTGAAGGACTTAGCAAGAGAAAGGGACAAAACTCTCCTTAGATATTTGCTTTACGTACTTGTTTTTCTATATGTTTTGCTTGAGCCGAAGATCTATCAGAAACATTTCTACCTTCACAAGGTAGGGGTAAGGTTGCCTACACACCACCTTCCCCAGGCTCCACTTGCACAATTACACTTGTGTCACGACCCAATTTCTCGAGTCATTATGGCACCTACTATAACCAACCAGTAGATAAGCCAACCCGTAACCCGGAACAACAAGTAATGGGTCTGAGGGCAGAAACTAAACAAGAGTACGCAAAATTTAAGATAACAATATAAAGAGGCGGAAGCAAACCAAAACATATATATACAAATAAAGATCCCTCCCAGAACCTGGAAGTCACTAGTAAAGAGCTACTATCAAAATGAGTACAAGTCCCAAAAGTGGACCACAGAAAAGTAGATTGTCTCGAAAGGTACAAGACAAGTCTATATATATATAGGTGGAGACTGAAATAGTACAAAATGTCGTGTGCTCACCCCCGTCTCTGGATCAGACTGCTCCAAGAATGATGTCAACGTTGGTCACTGGTGCTCGGACCTGCATCACGAAAACAGATGCAGAGCGTAGCATGAGTCCAAAACAACAGGTACCCAGTAGGCATCATAGGCCGATTGAGCTTGAAGAGTAAAGGCAATATGAAAAGAAGGAATAACACAAATAAGGTCAAGAGCGAAAATCTAAGTAAACAATGGAATACACACGAGTGTAGAAAGAACTAACTAAAATAATCTATAAGCTAACTATACCTAACTGGACCCCATATACCCATAAGGTACACTCGTGCGCAAGTTTAAATAAAAACCCGAACGGACCCCTATAAGCCCGACGAGTACACATAATAACTCTAACTAAAGAGAACAGAACCCAAGACCGAAGAACATCGAACCAGAACCTCAAACCCAATTAGTAGAATCTGACAGTACGGAGGCCAGACCTCGAACCGGATGTTCACCAGAAGTACCCAAGTAACCAATCACAAGTATCAAGTAACTGAGGCCGGTCCTCTAACCAGATGCTCCAAATAAGTATTCGGGTTATCGAGGCTGGACCTTGAACCAATGCTCTTTGAAAATATCAATGGGGTCGAGGCCGGAGCTCGAATCCAGATGCCCGACAAAGGTGCCAATGTAGCTGCTAAACGAGTCCCAATCGATCCATGATCATAAATGTCTGTGGAACGCCGTCCATCCTTAGCCAATCAATGTAAGTCCTTGGAACCGAATCGAAAACCAACTTCAAATTGCGAAGCAGAACCTAGTGTCGCCGACATAACTCGTGAAGCCGTAGCATCGGAGAGATAAGGATAACTATCGTCGGAGCAAGCGTATCGCCTAGCTAAGGCCCAAACTATCAGACTCAAGTCTGCTACACCAGTCTACAGGGATCTAAGTCGGCCGAGCGACGTCAGGGAAAAACTAAGGCCTATCAGTTCTGAATCACGCATTTCTAACGCAAGCCCTAGTCAAACCTAAACTAAGGTCCAAAATGCTTCAATAAATAGTAATCAAACATACATGTACTCCACATAGCAAAGAGGATCAATTAATAATAACATAGCATGCTCACAGTTACCCGATAATTCCTGAAATAGTAATCAAACATACATCTAACCACCTATGCATGATTCAATAACTACCCTACCCAAATCCCAACTAATTAACATGCATTCACATGCTCGAGCTCAATCTAAGAGAGGGAAGCCGTAGCCTACCTGTAGGCCGATCACGCGCGCTTCAAATCACTTCTCCGAAGCTTTCCCTTTTCGAACGGCCTCGAAACACTGCCACGCTATCAAAAATAAAGTCACAACGTTATTACGGTTGTTTAGACACTAAAATCGCACGAAGCGGAGACATACCAATTTTGGGGTCAAAACGAGGAAAGTGGACCCGCGCTGGAAATTCCGAAATTAACCCCAAAAATAGGTCCTAAACACCTCCCCAAATTGGAACACAATTCGGGGCTCGGAACAGTCCCAACACGAACATGCAACGAAAAACTCAAAGTTACACTAAAAGGGACAACAATGGCAGCAACTATTTACAAGAAATTACCAGAAACGAGGGTCCAACTGCTGAAACCAGCCACACCACGACTATCCTCACGAAAAACTCCACAATCTAGGTTCTTAAATCACCAAATTCGGACCTAAAATGGCCAAGAGATCATCTTCCAAAATTTCCCAAAACTTGAGCTCGAAAATGAGCTATGGCAGCAGCTGAAACCAACGAAGCCTCAAATACGAATTCCAACCACGCCAACACGTTCTCCTTGAAAAACCACTCAAGATAGCCCCAAGAATCACTAGAATCGGACTTGAAATGAGAGAGTTATGATGGTTTAAAGTTGAGAAATGAGGCTGAAATGGGGCTTTTAAAAGGCAGAGCTCGGGGAGGCAGGTCAGGTGGTATATCGGACGCACCGGGCAGAGGTGCTCAGGGCCATTTCTATGTAGCCTCGGCGAGGGCGGCGGCTGAGGCATCTGACGATGTCATCACAGGTACACTTTTATTATGCCATTCTAGCCAGAGATGTTAGGCAGTTGCGGTCGAGAGTCATTCCTGTTGTTAAGATACGTTGGAGGCACCGTCCAGTCGAGGTAGCTGGGAGACTGTGCAGGAGATGCAGGAGCAGTTCCCCAGCTTATTTGAGCCCTCAGGTATATCCTTATCCTTACTTTCGCGGGCGAAAGTTCTTTTAGTAGGGTAACATATCTATTTTATTTTTATCGGGTTTCGAACGAATTTCAAGCACCCCGCCGGAGACTTTATAAAATAGTAAAAGCTGAAATCTGGTGCAGCCCTTTTAGTGACCAGATTTTGGGCTTTTACCGACCAGATTTTTGGGCTTTTTAGCGACCAATTTCGCCTTTTAAAAGCCCCATTTCAGCCTCATTTCTCAACTTTAAACCTTCATAACTCTCTCATTTCAAGTCCGATATTAGTGATTCTTGGGGCTATCTTGAGTGGTTTTTCGAGGAGAACACGTTGGCGTGGTTGGAATTCGTATTTGAAGCTTCGTTGGAGGTAAGAATTATTATTTAGCTGCTGCCATAGCTCATTTTTGAGCTCAAGTTTTGGGAAATTTTGGAAGATGATCTCTTGGCCGTTTTAGGTCCGAATTTGGTGATTCAAGAGCCTAGATTGTGGGGTTTTTCGTGAGGATCGTCGTGGTGTGGTTGGTTTCAGCAGTTGGACCCTCATTTCTGGTAATTTCTTGTAATTAGCTGCTGCCATTGTTGTCCCTTTTAGTGTAACTTTGAGTTTTTCGTTGCATGTTCGTGTTGGGACTGTTCCGAGCCCCGAATTGTGTTCCAATTTGGAACACAAGTTCGGGGAGGTGTTTAGGACCTATTTTTGGGGTTAATTTTGGAATTTCCAGCGCGGGTCCCACTTTCCCCGAAATTGGTCTGTCTCCGTTTCTTGCGATTTTAGTGTCTAAACGACCTTAATAACTTGGATGTTGTTGCATTAGTCCCAATCTTCAGGAATAGAAGAAGGGAAGAGGAAAAATTCAAGTATTCCTTTAAGGATATTTGAATTTTTGATATAAATTCTATGATACAGTTTCTATCCCTTATGTGAAACCTCTTTTTAACCAATCAAAAAAGTTGCACATGTGGGATAGAAATCATATTACAGTAACTTTATCTAAATAGAAAACAAATTGCATTGTAGAATTCAAGTTTAAGCATTGTTTACTCGAATATTCTCTTTGACGTATCAACAAATAAAAGCTCTCTTTGAAACAATTGCATTCAAGTGTAGCAATGGTTTTTTCCAGATCACAACAACAGCAACAAACCCAGTGCAATCTCACAAATGGGGTTTGGGAAGGGTGGGATGTACGTAGACCGTATTTTATGTTTGTGGGGTAGAGATGTTGTTTCCGATTGACCTTGGATCAAAAGAGAAGTTTTTGAAGTAGGGAGTCAAGAAAATATGACAACAAATAGCAAAATATCTAGCAAATGAAGTAACAAATAGTAATACCCTTGTCTCCAACATAATTCTAAAATAGATTGGATATTCTTGAGCCGAGGGTCTATCGGAAACAACCTCTCTACCTTTGAGGTAGGGGTGTAAGGTCTGCGCACGCTCTACCCTCCCCAGATCCACTTGGTGGGATTACACTGGGTATGTTGTTGTTGTATGTTGTTTTGAGATAAATCTCATGTGGGTATAGCAACTTGACTCCAAGCAAACTCAAATGTCTCTTTCAGAATTATGGGAATTACAAAACTAGCTGAGGAAGTTGAAGAAAAAAAATATAAATCTAAAATAGAAAAAAGGTAACAGGTATATGACACTTGATCAATGCGCAATGACATGTAAAGTTGGTTCTGCCTAATGAAGTTGCTTTTGAGACAATGAGGGAACTGTCTATGCTTGTGCGTTGCAATAGTTCTTATGCAATTGCAATTGTTTATGACTTCTTTATTTGCAGGAGGTATTGTTGGATCAAATCTTGCTCTTAGATGTTAATTACATCTGATCTTTCTGTTTCACTTTCTCAAAATTTAGGGATGGTCCATCATTAGTAGTCGCATCAGGTCGTGATACTATCTCCATTTCAAGCTCAATAAAACAGTTAGCTCCAGAATATGTTTTCACTGTGCAGGTTTGATAAAACTAAGCTTTCTTGTATGATATATAAGAACTTTTTAACCCAGTGACGGAAATACATATTTGCATGGATGAATTAAGAATGCTACTTCGTTAGTTTTTCTGAATATTTTTCTCTTAATGTCTAATAATATTAGTGCATCTGTCGTTCCTTTTCTCCTCGGATGCTTCATTTAATGTGGCATAGTCCTACAAATTTTGAAAGCTTTAAAAAATTGTGAGGTCATGCCACCCATATATAATTTTCTCTTTAACTAGGATCTATTTGTTCCAAACATTGGATGTCAGTGACTAATGAAATTTAATTTGTGTGTAAGCACAGTTTCATTCTGGTGTTCCATTTCTTTTTGAGACTATCTCGGTTTTGGGGTGCCCACAATTTGTTGAATCATAATTCTAGGTTTACCTACTTGTCTTTGACTTTGTAATGGATTCAAAATTTTAACCAAATATCAAATGAGAGGGAATACAACTTCATTTGACATTAGTAAGGACCTCAAGTTCTTTAATGTGAATTTTATTTGTCTCTACTGACCAACTCTCCTGCACCTTTGAGATTGAATAATCATCGCTTTTAATTGTTGGGACATTAGATTCGGCATATAGTAGTATTCACGTTGGTCATATCACACACACATAGTGGAAGGGAGGGAGGGATATCACGTGACAAGTGCTCTCCTAAATAAATTGTTTTAGTTTTTTCTCGTATTCAGTTTAATATAAACCTTAACATTAATACCAAAAGCCCTTTTTCTATGCCAATGTTGTTTGGAATTTCCTTCATATTTTTTTCCTTCCATGTTTGAAGTTCCAAAGGAGTATTAGAATGACAATCTGCTAATAACATATAGTGCTGGGAAGAAGCAGGTACATAGGGAAAGGATAGGATTAGATGGAGAATTGTCCCAGCTAGTAGCTAGTGGACAATTTGGAAGGAGAGAACCTTACATGCTATGAGAGCATAGAGAATAGTATAGAGAAAGTCAAATTGAATTGTACTTTTTGGACTAAAGTAACTTTGTATTAAAACCAGTACTTCAGTAGTACTGAAACAATTGAATTGTATTTTGACTTTATGTTTTTGGTGTAACCAGTTGTATTCCAATGATACTGTTCTATCATTGACACTTTCGATTAATTGTAGTCACAGGACAGTAGATCATAGAATACTCTTGTAAATATGGTTTCAGTGCATAGGATGCACTGCCTTGTTTTATAATGGATTCAGAAACAGTTACCATTGTTCCCATCTGTCCTATTCTTGGTGGACAGAGTTACCTGGTACATGTTGCTGGTGGGAGGTGGCAGGTATCCCGTGAAATTAGCCAAGGTGCGCGAAAGCTGGCCCGGACACCAGTCATCAAAAAAAAGAAAAAAAACAGTTACCATTGTGCAAAAAAATATATATAGTGCTAGTTAAACTGGTAAGATTCTGTTGTGTTATGTTTTCAGATACAACATCCCAGATCACGTCTAAATAGGTTTGACCTAGTGATCACACCTCGTCATGATTATTATCCTTTGACACCTGAGGGACAAAAACAAATTCCTTGGCTTCTTCGGAGGTGGATAACACCTCGCACATCTCCAGAGAGACACGTGGTATGCAAATTTCTTGAAAACCTTGGAGTACTTTACCACCTCCACATTTTGTAGACATCTTCACTGAGAATTTTGAGGCAGATACTGACTGTTGGAGCTCTTCATCAAGCTGATTCTAATGCGCTGAAGGATGCAGCTTACACTTGGCATGACGAGTTAGCAACTTTACCAAGACCTTTGCTTGTGGTTAATGTTGGAGGACCTACAGGTAGTTTGCATATTGAAGTCTTTTTCCTGTCTGTGGTTTGAATATTTTGTTGTGAAGGGGTGATTGGCATTTTGACCGCCAGTATTTAATCCTCGTACCAGGTTCTGAATGTTCTTAAGCTACAATTGGCATCATCTGTTACTATAGGAAAAATGACTGTATTAACACTGTCTTTTGTTTAGCCCTTTAAGTTCTTCTCTGAGTTCGTTTGCTCGCTTGTTTAACACCGCTTATTGGTTGCCTTCTTCTTATTGTCTTGTTAAGGACTCTGGATTTTATGTCATCTATTTAGAAACCATGTCTGATCCTTTTTTTAATAGACACCATGGCTGATCATATTTATTTGTACAAATTTGATCTGGAGGGGAAGGGAAAGTATTTGTTTTTAACAAAGAAACTTGGGGAAATAACAGTGAAAGGCCAAGAGAAAAATACTGGCTATGCAGTCAAAGATAATCGTAAAAAGATTATTTACAGGGAACTTTGCAGCAACAAAAACAGTAAAAAGAATCGTTATCGTAACCTAGAATATCTCCACAGAGTAAAATATTCAACGAACTGATTACTAGAAAATAGGGATAGCGAGCTAACAAATTATTAACTAGGACTTATTAAAAACACTAAACCAATAAAATAAATGTATTTTGCTTCGTTGTAATTAGGCCTTCACTGGCCCCTTTTGGATTTTGATTTTAATACAACTTGTTACCATCTCAAAAATAAAAGTGATATGTCCTGAGCAGCCAACCATAGTATAAACCTGTGTTTCAACAGCATTGTTCTATTCCAGACCAGCTCAGCTATGACGATCTCTTTGGTGAAGGTATCAACATTTCCAGACAACTTGTACTAATTGAATACTGACCATTGGTAGTTAGCATATACCTCCCTTGCTGATTGCCAATTTTTAGTTTGTGCAACCTCTTCCAATACTAGCTACAATCACTAGGTGTCTTGTGACTCTAAAAATCACCACTATTGTTCATATAGACTCCATTCACCCATCTTACCCAAAGTATATCCTTCTTTTCCATCAGTAACCATATCAGCTTACCAATAGCAGCCAAATTCCAAAGTCTGCATCCTTTAATATTCAAACCTCCATGCTTCTTGGGTTTGCAAATTGTGCTCCAAGCCACTTATGACATCTTCTGTTTGTCCTCTGTGCTACTCCATAAGAATTGTCTGCACCTCCTATCTACTTCATTAAGCACACTCTGGGAAGGATAAACACAGACCCCTAGAAGGTATGCAAGGAAAATAGGACTGGATTAATAACCTGCAATCTGCCTGCATAAGATAAGTGTCCAGCAGAGGTTGCTCTGATCTTCTCTGTAATTTTGAGACACAAGTGATGGCAATCTAGTTTATTACATTTCTTAGTTGAAAGAGGCAAACCTAAGTACCTGATGGGGAAGGTTCCAGGGAGATACCAGTTAACTCAAATAGCCTGTCCCTTGTTACACTGTCTACTCCAGCTACAAAGAGATTTGATTTGTTAATATATGCCTCTAGTCCTGAAGTGGCTGAAAATGATGTAAAGCTTGGATGATTCTCTGAACTGAGTTAACATTACCTTTGCAGAAGATCATGAGATCATCTGCAAAGATGAGATTTCCAGGATTAAACTGAAAACCTACAGTTTGGATTGCCAGATAATCACACTTCTGAGTTTCAGTGCATTCTTAGCATTTATACATTATAAGCATTTCATAAAAGAGAAGCGTTGTTGCATTTTATATGACTGAAATGTAATAACTTTGTTTATTGTGAAGGCAAAGTTGTATAGATCAGCTTTCGAGTTTGTTCTCGATGATTACTCTGATATTCCTTTTGGTATAATAAATCTGCTTCTAACTTTTTGTGGAACTTGTCAGAATGTTGAATTTGCCAGCACAGTTATTACAACTTGTTAAACTAGTTATTTCCTTTTTGGCTCACAAGTCTTTCTTTCTAGGTCATTGTAGATATGGTACAGACCTAGCACTGGAGCTAACAGACTTGCTTCTGAATATTGTTCCAACCTGTGGGAGCATCAGAGTATCTTTTTCTCGTAGAACTCCTTGTAAGGTATATTATTTCATCTGCCAATTTTCCTTCTGGTGATTGGTTGTTGATGTTGTAGTTAACAGGTCTCAGACATCATATGGGAAGAGCTTGGAAATCATCCTAAAGTTCACATTTGGAACGGTGAAGGTACTACTGATGCAATGTTTGTATTCCTATCCCTTGCTGAAGAGAACTGCCTCTTCAATGAGAAAATAAACGAGTAGCAGAAATTTGAGCTTTTTGATGAGCTAAAGAAAAGGGTGTTCTGATGTCAAATTTAATTGTTCAGCAGATCTTGTATAGAGATTCAACAAAGAAATGGGGAATATAATTTGCTATTAAGGAAAGTATACTCAGAGAGATACTTTAATCTTTTTTCCTCGAAGAGGAGATATTGCTGATATTTCAATTGTCGCCTAATTCTCATAATTATTTGTATTTCCTTCTGATGCCACTGACGTAATGTATACAACCTTTTTACATTAATACCTTTCAGGTCCAAATCCACATATGGGACATTTGGCTTTTGCAGATGCTTTTGTTATCACTGCTGACTCAGTTAGTATGTTAAGTGAGGCTTGCAGTACGGGGTAAGTTGCCCTTGATGCTGACTCTTGTCAATTCAATGTCCCTTCTGTTCTCCTTTTCATTAGCATTTCATCTAAAGAGTTTAAGGTTCAGGAAACCTGTTTATGTAATTGGTGCTGAGCGATGTACGTGGAAATTCAGAGACTTCCATCAATCCTTGAAAAATCGAGGAGTGGTTCGGCCATTCCTTGGAAAAGAAGATGTGAGTAGAATTGTATTAATTTATATTCTAGGCTCCTACTAGGCACAAGGATAACATCCACCCTTCTAGTTTTATTCTCCTTCGTTGAGTTTTTGCATGGACAGGAAATGACATACTGATAGATATTGGTTTGCCGGAAGATAACTGCATAATATTCCTCTCTATCCTCTAAACGCACTATATAGTGTTGAAATTCAATTGGAAGTGGTTAATTTCGCGTGCCATTTGACCAAGTATCTTCTATCGCTGGCACATCTTTTATTTGGAATTCAAGCGAATTCACCCATGAACATTATGCTTACAGTCACTGGTCATGAAAGAGCATGATGCCTGCAATCCAGAGTTTTAACTTCATCCTCTTATTTTGTAGATATTTGAAAGTTGGAGCTATAGTCCCCTGAATGATACTAAGGAGGCTGCTGCGCACGTGATTACAGCACTAGCCGAACGTGGATGGGGATTGCCATCATAATTTCTTCTCGACTATAGTAGTAGTATTTACCTTGATTCAGGTATATACCAGTTTTAAGAAATGGAGTAGAGGGAATTTGTTGATTTTCTAGCATCAGGAGAAGTGTCTATTCTTCTCATTTGGGTTGTTTACTTCTTTCTATCCAGTTTTTCTTTTAAGTCGAGGGTCTACCGGAAACAACCTCACAAAGGTAGGGGGTACGGTCTGTGTAAGTGGTTTCTGCAGCTCCTGTATCCTCTCATCAAATTGATTGAAGTGAAAAGTTATAGTGGATCACTTTTGTACCATAACTTCACATAGTTTTGTAAAAGATATGGTCATTCGATTGTATATGCTAGCTTTGCTAGATTGACATGTGCTGACGTTCAATGTTTCGAAAACAATGAGTGTCATTTAATAGGCCATGACATGTTAGGATTTTGAATTAAACTGGTCAAGTTTTCATAAAGAGCAAAGCTTGTGAAAGCAAAATTCTAGTTAGTGTTTCCAAGCACGTACTAGTATCTTTTTAGCTTAAAATATGTGTATATTACTGACAAATATTTGCTATGAAGCTGGAGATTCGTTTTATGTCATCAGAATTATATAGCTATAAATACAAACTACGAAAATAGTAAGGCGATACTAACATTTTGCATACAAAAGTGTTATTGAAATTTAGTTTTAGGTCATAAAAATTGAAGAAAGAGAATTTAGCAATGATCAATACAAATGTGTTGCAACTCTAATACTAGTTATTGAATACGTTTCACTTAGGGATTTCCCACCGTCGTGGTTGTTGCATTTGTTGTTCAAACCTTGTTTGCTTTCTTAGACTTCGTAGTACCCCGCATTGCATCATTCCCTTCTGGCTAATGGGCCAAACTAGGCTTTCATTGATGTAGATGCTTGCCTCCCAAAAAGGATATTCATCAATAATCACCTTTTGACATATAAAAGATTCCTTTTTTGGATCATAAATCATGAAAGTTGATTGATCAACCTGAATCAAGATTTCTCCTTTATTTGACATCTTGCAAAAGAGTGGAGAAAAGCCATATCCTTCGGGATGATCATTAGGGCGATTAATGGTATACATCTTTGTCCAAGATTCTTTAATTTCATATTCCTTCATAATCCACACATCTGTTTGAAGGCTCTGATTATTACATAAATTAGAAAGATCACTTCCCAACACTCCCACACATGGCGTTAAATCAAAATCTCCTTCTCCATAAAAGGGTTTTTCCACCTTTCCCCATTTTCCATCGGTCACATCAATAGAAGTGATGTCCCAACCATTATATGAATGTTGATCCTGTGAAGGAGATTTAGCCCAATGAAGCTTTCCATTCACAAAGATACCGTCTGTCTCTCTAACTAGCCCATGCGAACGATCATTTACTATAATTCTCCATGAATCACTATTTGAACTATATATTCTGACCTCTTTGGAAATAAGCACTAAATTATAATCATCATGAAGCTGATCATATCCAAAACCATGCAAGAAATAGCGACCAGATTGAGGATCACGAAATTTCTTGAACTTCCTAATTGACGGATTCCAAAGAATCAAGTCCTTGTCAATTGATAAACAAATCAATCCATTAACAGAACCCAAAATTGTAACAGATTTACGAGGATTTTGCATAGGATAATCCAATTGAAATGTCTTAGGATCAGAATCATAAAGCAAAGAACTAATGGAGCAGTCCATAAGATGGTGGTGAGGTTGAATAAATCTCAACAAGAGTCTATTGTGGATAAAATCCTTGTTATTAGTAAATACATTAAGATGAGTCTTGATAAAATTACGGCTAGAGATTAAACAACGCCATTGCGTTGAAACACACTTGAATTTTAAAAGGGATTTCACAGGTAATCTCGAGAGGATTTCAATGATGAGTTCTACTGGCAAAATAGGAATTTCATTACTTTGTTTGCGTCGCTGTAGATGGGACCCCATTAGGGTTTTGAATTCTGGACAACAATTTTCTTTTCTTTTTTTGAACCATGTGGGCATATTTAAATAAATATTAGCAGTGAGGGTTTGAAAATTATATTTGGTATAGGAAAGAATTATTGAAAACGCACAAATTATTAGTTTAGTTTCCGAACTATTTATAGTCTTAAAAACTCACCTCTAATTGACTAACCAAACTTAGATACACCCGTCACATGATATAGCAAGCAATTTCAAATTTCTGTAGGAGCATGAGACTCTTAATAAAAAGTCCAAACTTGATAATAATTTAACGATCGGTAAATATTGAGAAAAAAATTAATTATAAAAAATCATAATCATATTTAGTTTTATATAGAGAGAAAATTGATAATTTCATTTTATTACATTAATAACATATGGGTGGGACGTAGGATAAATTTTCCGTATGAGAGGATACATTCAAAAGATGGCATATGAGAGTATTCTTTACGAGATGATACACTTAAAAAATATTTTACCTTAAAATACTTAAAATAAGTCAATCTTAGCAGATAGAAGCCGGACATTATGCATGTTAAGGACGTACAATTTGACAATTCGGGGTAAGCATCATATAACTATTAACTAAGTCCAATACATGAACCTCCTCGAGGCTTTTTGCCAATGCCCATTAAGAATTTTAGAAATCTTCTTTTCAAATTTGTATAAATTATTGAAATACACGTCTTATGTTTTCCTTATTTCTAATATTCCCTTCTATTTCTAAAATCCTTTATTTCTCTCCTAATTCTAAATTATTTTATAATGTATCTGAGCTAGTTTTTAATGTATCCGGTTTATTTTATAATGTAACCGAGCTAGTTTTTAATGTATCCGAGCTACATATGATGTATTCGGTTTGCTTTACTTTTTCAGGGATTAATGTAATCACAAACTAAATAGGGATAGATTGTAATTTCATATTAAAACGATGTGATTTCTAAAATCTATCATTTTTTTCACACAATTTTCTATGTTTTCGGTAAAACTGACTAATATATTAGGATTTTGAATTAAACTAGTCAAGTTTTCATAAAGAACAAAGTTTGTGAAAGCAAAAATTCAAGTTAGTGTATTCCAATCACATACTATTATCTTGTTAGGTTAAAATATGTTTATATTAAACAAATATTTGCTATAAATTACAATTACGAAAATAGAAAGGCGATACTAACATTTTGCATACAAAAGTATTTGTTAAAATTTAGTTTTAGGTCATCAAAAATGAATAAAGAGAATTTAGCAATGATCAATACAAATGTGTTGCAAACTCTTATACTAGTTATTGAATACGTGATTGGTTTCACTTTGGGATTTCCCACCTTCGTGGTTGTTGCATTCGTTGTTCGAACCTTATTTGTTTTCTTAGACTTCGTAGTACCCCGGATTGCATCATTCCCTTCGGGCTAATGGGCCAAACTAGACTTTCATTGATGTAGATGCTTGCCTCCCAAAAAGGATATTCATCAATAACCACCTTTTGACATATAAAAGAGTCATTTTTTGGATCATAGATCATGAAAGTTGATTGATTAACCTGAAACAAGATTTCTCCTTTATTTGACATCTTGCAAAAGAGTGGAGAAAAACCATATCCTTTAGGATGATCATGAGGGCGATCAATGGTATACATCTTTGTCCAAGATTCTTTAATTTCATATTCCTTCATAATCCACACATCTGTTTGAAGTCTATGATTATTACACAATATAGAAAGATCACTTCCCAACACTCACCCACAGGCGTCAAGTCAAAATCTCCTTCTCCATAAAAGGGTTTTTCACCTTTCCCCATTTTCCATTGGTCACATCAATAGAAGTGATGTCCCAACCATTATATGAATGTTGATCTTGGAAAGGGGAATTAGCCCAATGAAGCTTTCCATTCACAAAGATACCCTTTCTCTCTCCAAATAGCCCATTCACAAAGCTTTCCCTTCACAAAGCACTGACTGTGTAAAGTTTTTGAATTTAGTATAGATTCTTATATGATGTTTCAAACTGATGTTGTTATATCTGATCTCCAATCTCATTCTCTTAGCAATTTCGTGGTATGTTCGATTCAAATTTTCTATTTACTCTGTATAGTCATATTTCATTGAAGAAGGTACATGTTGTTTTGCAACTTATTTTCATCATCGGTTCTAAGGATTACCTCTTTTGCAATTAAATGATAAGGAAGTCTCAGAAAGGATTCTAGAGCAACCTTTATGTTGCTGGACGAGTGTTGTTGCACAGGGCCGGGAGGTGTTGGTATTGCCTTGGCCAAGCTCTGTATTTGCCTTCTCGAAATGTGATACTAATGCCTTGGTCAAGCTATGTAGATCTGTTAAATCTCTAAGACCAATTCTTATTACTAAACGGGTCATATGGAACAAGCCTCTGACGGGACATTTCAGAGGCTTCAAATTATGTTCTAAGTTTTACCTCAACTTGACAAAACGTGAAACTTCCAGACACCTATTTTTGCACAGCAAATGTGATATGGAGTTGCATCTTCTGGATGTGTTGGCGTCATTATGGGTTAAAAGATGCCTATAACCTATGTTGCTCGAGCTCTCCAAATATATTGACGCAAAAATAAACTATTGTTGGAGTATCAACACACACCCGTATATTTTCTTAAAAAAGTTTGAACAACCTAGCCTACAACAGCTGATATATAGCAATTATGTTCAATGTATTTTGAAAGATTCCACTACGATAATGGTAACATTATTATAGTCTTCTCCATTCCTGTACAATGCAACAACAACAATTATGCGGAGATATTAGTTGTTTGATCAATCTCCTTTGCTCGTTAGAGGCAAGGTTCATGTCCCCCTCTAATCTTTTGTAAGTATTTCTACTTATGTTTACATGGTAGGGGTCTAGCCAAACCCCCCACACTCAGGCTCACAACCTATTGGTGATGACTTTTGTTAAAAAAAATCTTTGTATAAGAAAAATATTCTTTAGAATGAAGAAAAACTTTTATATCTTGTTGTCATTTACTCTTTTGGCACAATACATTATTCGTATATTGCTAAAAGTAGTGCATATTTCCTATTGATTAATATAAAGTTAAGTTATAACATTGTGTATGTTTTAGTCCATTATTATTGGGAGTCTATCATTGAATTTTTTAAAGCATTGTACTTAATTGGATTGTCTAAATTGGTTTGCACTTTTTTATTGTTAAAGAAGCAGAAATTGTAGTATTATTTTCACCTGACTATATAGTATATACTTCTGTAGATACTAAATGTTACGGTCAATAGCGGAGTCAGAATTTTCAATAAGGGGGTTTAAATCTGAAGAAATATACACATGAAGTAATCAAAGGGAGTTCGACATCTACTATATATATCTACAAAAAATATTTTAACCATGTATAAATAATATAATTTTTCACCGAAGAGGGTTCGGATGAACCCCTGACTATAAAGTGGCTCCGCCAATGGTTATAATAACAACAACAAAAACATACTCAATATAATCTCACAAGTCAAAACAGAGAATAGTGTGTACACTAAACACAAGTTATAAGTTTTGTGCACATTTGCACTACTATCAAACCGTACATCAAAATTTTGAAATCCCAAAAGATTTTAATAGTTAATTTTATGATTTTAGTTTCACTTGAGACAATATTAACATTATTTAACTATCTACTTTTTATCAAAAATATTTTAGAACTTTCACTTAAACAATTCAGATCTTCATATTAATAAATAAAGTTTTTACATCAACATACAATGTGATGCATTGCAAACAAATGTCTAACCTCTTATTAACTACATTTTTGTGTATGTGTGTATATATTTAAGGCTAATTATTATAATTTGACTTAATGCCATTAATTTTATTGAGATGTGAGTAAATAAACACACAACCAAATATAAAGTGCAAACTTGAATTAAAACTGTAACCGTGATTGTGATTAAAATTGAAAACAAAATCTTGAAAGATTTTTTTTTTTCAACTTTAAAATCTAAAAGTATTTTCTATCAATGAGAAAGAAAATATGAGAGTGTCAGAGGATACACTAAAAAATTATTTTCCCAAAAAACACTTAAAATAAGGGAATCTAAATAGAAAAAGAGAACAAATGTGAGGATACACTTAGGATGTAATTGCAATACTGTAGAGCTATGTGAGGTTTACATTCAACGTCAATCAGACAATACCTTTTTTCTCTGATGGTGAAATAAGGGAAGTTCAACCTATGACATTTTATTGTTCAAGGTAACAAAGACAGAAATGAACTAAACAATTTGTGACAAACATATTTCTTAGCAACAAGAAGTCTGGTTTTTTTTCCCAATTAAACTACAAAAGAAAGAATGTCACAAGACATGATCCAAGTCAAGACTCACAACAACGCTTTTGTTAAGTTTACCTAAGCGAGCAAAGTACTTATCGTCTGTATTGATTACAACGACATCTTGACAAAATTTGCGATTGACATCAGGGGAAACCTGTAATTTGTTTCGTGTAGCTAGTTAACATTGTGATATATATTCCCAATTTTATGTAAGTTAAAGAGGCAATCGATCCACTCACATTCCATATATCATCTCCAATATTCATTTTAACATTTCCACTTTTGTAAACCAATTGCTTTCCCCTGCGCCCGCCAACCTCTTCTTGATCATCAGCCAAAGCTTTCTCTTTCTCTTTCCCTTTTGCATTTGCGGGAATTCTAGAACTGGAAGCAGTGACATTGTCGTCCTTATGTTGTTTAAGCAAACTATGTGGCAATTGAAACATAATCATCTGTCGTTCATCATTTTCTCCTGTTAATCAGCAATAGTACTACTTATCAATACGCGAGCAAAACAACTTTTTCCCCTATTCAACATATTTGTAATTCAATTTTTGATGCCTAGTAAACATACCAACAAACCAAGTTCTGCAGCACAATTGAGAAGAACAACGGTACCTTTAATCAGCTCAATCAGTCCAAGGGGGAAGATCAACTAAATAATGCTATGGTTGATA